CCAAAAGCCCACCCATAAATCTTTCGAGAAAGACTCTATCCCAAGCGTTTTCTCATCCCCCATATCCTGTAGGGCAACCCAAATGTCATGTAAGGTTATGGGTTCGTCCAACGTGGCCCTTTGTTGCTCTGTTATAGAGGATTGAATAGCCTGTATTCGTGTGTCTCTCGCTTGATGGACCTCATCTAGATGTTTAATGGGTGTCTCATATGTGAATAGATTGTTATAATATTTAGCCATGTAGTCCACAATTGAATAAGTGTTGGTTGCAGGCAAGGCATTATTGTCCAAAGGGTGATTAAGCCTGGGAACAGTAGCAGCTTTTGTCCTAGCCATGGCCTTGTTGAAAAAGGCCTTTGCCATTGTCCCATCTGTGTGTTGTTTTTCAATTTTGGCATGCACCCTCCGTGCCTGTGCCTGCTGCTCGATATACGACTGGAGGTGATCTCGAGCCTCTTGCATTTTATCATAGGTTAGGCGGCGCAGCGGATCCTTCATAAGCTCTACATCGCATTCTTCTAAGTCTCGCATGAGACTTTCAAGGCAGGCCTTGCAGTCTCTCGCATGTTGGATGGAGAACTTTTTTGCTCTTTCCCGTAATTGCGCCACTCCCTCATAAAACCATTTCACTCTTTCCCCCGAGACGGGTTTCTGGGATTGCCAATATTTCCAGAAGTCGTTAACCAGGATTTTGAATATGGGGAGGGGAAGCAAAGAGGCATTGAATTTGTAAAACCCCGGTCCTCGCTGAATATGATTATGAAATGACAGTCCCAGAGTTATCATCCTATGATCAAAAGACTTACATGGGCTGATTGGTGCTCACTTTCACTTGCACTTTACATACATGCAAACAAATGGGGACTCACACTGGCGCAGGCGCCCACTCCAAGCTTAGAGATATGGAAATCAAGAACACAGTTCAGATGCAAGTTCACTTCAACAGGCTATGGCGCATCGGCACCTTGACATCCCAACCTTCGTCACTGTGTCCAACCCCACTGTTCACACACGCTCACTCTGGATCACCCTGAATACCCCCCCCCCACACATGCTTAGTCTTACTTCCTCCCACAACGGCTATGGCCGCACTACCACTACTGACCATGGCTACGATCTCCCTTCAGCCCACTCCGTCTTCGGGCAACCTGCAGACCACCTTCGCATAAGACGTTGTAGCAGCGCTTCCGCATGGCTTACGTAGCGAATGAATGAATGACTGGGCGCTGCCTCTTGATTCATACTTCTGTAACTCGTTGGTCTGCCCTTCTCGACCAGGCCTATGCTACACACAGTCCCTCATGGTACTTGCTTGACTGGACAAGGATTGACTAGACCGGTACCGCTGACTGCATGGGTTTGCCTTGCCAACTCAATGCAATCGAATTGCCAACGTAATGCAGCTGGGCTCACCACTTGCCCACTTGCCTCTAACTAAAACGTGAGGGAGCTTCGAAAGGCCAGTTCCAGACCTTCCGGAAGTCTGTGGACTTGGCCTTTTGAGTATTGTAGCAGCTACGACCTTGACCTTTCAGGACTGTAGCACCTACGACCTTCTCTTTCTTCTCAACGTGACGTTTCAAGATTCCTAGAGCTACGACCTCTACAGGGCTTTGACTCCTACTCGACAAACCTACAGATCAAACCCCTACCACTACACAGACCTACGACAAACAACAACTATCAAAACACAGGTCACGGGTTCAAACGCTCGCGGTCGACATAGATATTGTACACAGGTAAAGTGAGGACTAGGGATCGAGCCCTGGGACCTACATCCGCTACTGCTAACAGGTGAATACCGTTTCTGTTGTAACAAGGCCCATCATTTCTTTTGATACAAGCGTAAGGTCAATTTGTGAGTTGGCCAAGCCTTGCTCACCCCTCGATGATAGGCAGGTGTAGGCTTTTTGGGTGGGGTGCAGCAGTCTATATGCATCTTCAAGTTGTCTGTCTGCCATAAATTGTCTTAGCACAAGAATATCCGGACCAGGAGCAAGTGGCGATGAGGATGCTGAGTCATGGCGTGTCAATGTGGATCTTCGATCCATTGCAGGGTCGAGCGTGGTGTTGAAGTCACTTGCAAGTATAACAGGGCATCGTCCGGCAGGTGTTCGTGGAGGGAGAACCAAAGGTCTACCCTAGAAGTGGGGTCATTTGGGGCGTACACGCTGACCAGGTAAAACTCTTCACCCTCATACTGTAGTTTTAAGCAAATCAATCTTCCTTGTTGTTGGTCATACTTAACAGCCAGCAGTCTGAGTTTAGAGGAAGGCGAGAGCCAAATTGCAACTCCTGCCGACGCTCTATCTTTAGCAGGTGCAGAGTACGACGTATATGGCCAGATAGCTTTTGCTTTTGCGTTGTGTGCTGGTGTGTCCTGCAAATGTGTTTCTTGGATACATATTGCATTTGGCCATGTCCTCGTCTCTGGGCACCTAATCATGTCCCATATGGCATCTTTTTTGGGTGTCGTTGCCTGTATAAGTCCGTTAACATTTAGAGAGCGTATATCGATATCCGCCTGAGCCAATTTTATTGCCCATCGAGGTTTTCTCCTGCTCGGTGGGAAAACGGGGGGGCGCAGGGGGCATCTGGGGGGAGGGGGGGTCATCGGGCGTGGTGGTTGCTGCTGTGTGAGCGAGTAGGGTGTGGGGTGGTGATTGTTAGGCTGGATGTGAGGGGTCGATTGATGCTGCGTGAGGGGGTGGGAGGTTGGGAAGTGATTGTCCCTCGGGTTGTCAGGTGGTTGGGAGCGGGCGTTGAGCGGGTCTGTGTTGTGATACATCCTTTCAGGAGGGCAGGGCGGCTGTAGGGAGGCCTCGCGTAGGCAGTTCACATCAGAGCTCATGGGGTTCTGTATTTGACAGTCCATTTGATCGCGAAGACTGTATGTAATTTAAGTGCCTCAATTGCTTCAGTCCACGACTTTAATCGGGAGGACAAATGGCGGGTCTTCCTATTGATTGTGTTCATCCAGCACATTGTCCTCCATAAAGATCTGCATGAACTTTGGTCAAAGTCCAAGCAAAGTTAGTTCTGAATCGGTTGGCACGCAAGTCCACGAGCTCCTGGTGGGTGAACCACTTATGTGTTGTTGTTTTCCGAGTTGTGGTTCTCAGGTTCACGAGCACGATGACCGGGATAACCCCCTCCAGAAAAGACGACGATTGTGGCAACACTGCTCCTAGTACCCCTTCTAATTGTGCCTCCCGGCGCCAATATTTAAGGCGCTTCACGATGACCACCGCATTGACTGCAGTGGAGGGGTTGCCCCTCCATCCCTCTACTGTGAGGCCATCTAGATCCCGGGGATGTTGAGGGGGTTGATCCGGGGTGGGGTCTGAGTCCTAGTACCCATTGTCCTCCTTCCCTCTGTCGTGCTAACGGGAACAGAATAACCCCTGGTGGCACTTGCATCGGAGTGTCATCATCATTTTGCAATCTCACCCGTTCTCTCAGTTTCCCCCTAGTGAGATCATCAAATGCCTCTTTATCACAGCCACATTGTGAGTCATCGTCGTCATCATGCAGTATCTCAATTTTGTGAGGGCGGCGGAGCGGGCCAGATTGTATGTTGTCGGTGGTAGCTACGTGAGCCGCCTGCTGAACAGGTCGTTGTGGTTCCGTCTCCCATGTGATGAGTTGGTCTTGTCTTTGTTCTAGTTGCATGGATGTGGCAACAGTGGGTCCATGTAATGTGGCCGGTAGTTCCAGGATCAGCAGCTTAGGCCATGCAAGCCCTTCGTGAAGGAATGCCTCCTCGTTGAGGGCTGGTCCTTCTCGGCTTTGTTTGTTAGGATGCTGATCAAATCTGTTTTTGGCATACTGTTCTATTTTATCCAAGAATTTGTTGACCGCCAGGACAATCACTGCACCGACGTCCATCCAATCAATAGACGATATATTACTGTATTTTTTGACACTGGCCAGAACCTTGGTAGTGAACATCAAGACTTCCCTGGCCTGAGCCCAGAACTTACTTGCAAGTTTGTTATGTGACCCCTCCCCCGCCATATAGAATATCTTAGTGAGAGTCCATTCAGTGAGGAAGGCCATTTTTTGTTCAACTTCTTCGTTAGTCACTAGAGGCCGGGGGGAGGGGGGGGGGACTGTCTTGCAGTGTTGGGGTTGGCGCCTGGGTCATTTCGATATCCTGTCCGTCCAGGCCCGGATCTCGATGCTGCAATAGCTGTGAGGGTTGGTCCGGGGTCGAGGTGTCCATGTCCTGTGATATCTGTGTATTGCCAATGTCGGGCGAGAGAACGGCTGCAGCAAGGCTGGGGCAGTTCGTTGTATGGTGCTGCTGTTGTTGTTGTTGCAGGATAACTTACTGCTGACAGCGCAGTTGTTGTTGCCACTGACGGTGCAGATGCTGCACTATTTGCTGTTGGTACAGTACTCTCTGTTGATGTTGGCGGTTGTGGTACTGCTCCAGCTGTGTTTGCAAGAGGAAGTGAAGTTGGGCTTCACACTCTCTACGTTGTTGTGCCTCGCTGTTGTATTGCTATGGCCTGCTTTTCTTGTTGTTGGTGTTGGTGCCATAGCTGCTGCTGAATCTGTTCTGTTGTACTGCTTGGGCTTGGCCGTGGTATAAATAAGGCAGTGTGTGCTGTTGTTGAGGTTGTGTTGTCAACAACTGATGTGCCAGCTGTTGTTCCTGCTGTGCCATCTGCAGCTGTTGGTGTGGTAGCAGATGCTGAACCATCTGTTGCTGTGCCAGCAGTGTTGCTGCAGGTGTTGCTCCGCCCGCCCTTGCTCCGCTACCTGTTTGTGGTGTTGTGGTGTCGGTTGTTGCTCGAGCTGGCCGTGTGCAACTTCAGACAACTGTTGCGACAGCTGTTGCTGTGATATCTGTTGCTGCTGCAGGAGTTCCTCTGCCAGCCCTTGCTCCACCACCTGTTTGTACTGTTGTTGTTGTTGTTGTTATGGCACCTGCCTCTGTTGCGGTGCATCTGTTGCTGCACCGTCAGTTGCTGTGCCAGCTGTTGCTGTTTCAGGTGTTGGACTGCCAGCCCGTGCTCCATCACGTGATTGTGCAGTCGTAGCATCGGTTGTTGCTCCAGCTGGCTGTGTACATCTTATGTCAGCTGATGTTGTGGCAGATGCTGCTGCACCTCCTGTTGCTGTGCCAGCTGTTGCTGCTCCAGGTGTCTGTCTACTTGCCCTTGTTCCACCACCTGTTTGAGCAATTGTAGCATCGGTTGTTGTTCCAGCTGGCTATGTACACTTATTAGCAGCTGTTGTTGCAGTGGTAGCTGTTGTGGTGGCAGCTGTTGTTGCATCAGCTGCATTGGTTGATGCTCCAGCTGGCTATGTTAGCTGGCTATGTTCAATTAGTAGCAGCTGTTTTTGTGGTAGTTGTTGTGGTGTCAGCTGTTGTTGCATCGGCTGTTGGTGAAGCGGGTTTGGCTCCACAAGCTCCTGTTTGTGTTGCTGTTGAGGTGTCGGCAGACATTGCTCCACCTGTCCTTGGTCTGTCCTATCTTTGTGCAAATGTTGTAGTAGCAGCTGCTGCTCCAGCTGGCAATGCTCATTTGGAGCTTGCGTACCCTGTTGCTGCGTCAGGTGCTCTTGTGACAGCAGTTGCTGATGAGGTTGCTGTTGCTGTTGAGCAGTTCCGACTACCTCGTCGTGTTCGAGCGCCAGCAACTAAACCCGCGCGGGATCGTGCTGTGGCCGTCCGGGCAAGTCATGCAAGCAGACGTCGGGGAGTGCGTAGGGTCTGGGGATTGACATTGCTTCTCTCCTTGTGCCTCTTGCAAGCACCGAGTAGGATGTACCCCTCCTTCCCCTTTTGGGGGGTCATTCTGAGGTTTGTGGTCTTGGTGTTTGGGCAGTGGTGGTTCCCACTGTTGTGAGAAGGCATCATCTTTGATCTTATTTAGCAGGGAGTTGGCTTTAAGCCACACATCCCGGGGCTTAAAACTTTTAACAGCTCCTTCCACAAGAGTTTTGCTGGCATCCTTTCTTCGCAGTTGATCAGAAAGGTTAGTCTCACAGTGGTGAGTTACGGAGCAGGGTTCCTTCTCCCTATCTCATGAGAGAGTCGAGGTGTTCTCAGATTGTCGTTGTGTAAACTGAGGAGGAGGCAGTTGTTTCATATGGATTTTTTTTTACCCTCAGGTGTAATTACCCTTTCTTCAGGCGCGTGTTGTTGCCCAGACAAGGGTCGATTTTGCCCAGACGCCATTGCCACCGTTGGGGCATCGTTCTTGGAAGTGGTATGGTGTTTATGTTCTTCTTTGCCCGGTTCTTGTTCATTTTCCTGCGGTGGGGGTAGGGAGGCTGAGGCATGGCCACTTGGACGCTCAGCAGTTTTCACTGTTGCCAGCTGACCCTGCTGGAGGGGGATATCACGGGTCGGGTGCTGTCGTCTAAGGTCTTGTCGTCCTCCTCCATCCCGGGCCCTCCATATTCGAATGCACCCACTGCCTTACTGTTTTCAGCTGTCGCTTGCTGTTTCTGTGCTTGAATCCGGTTGTTTGTCTTGTGTGCATGTGGTCAGTAGTGGAGCAAGGCCCTCGAGCGGGGTCTGTATTTGGAAAGTCCATGTGTAGAATGAAATCTTCAGCTAGAACATGAGAGGATACACTGCCATATTTTGTGTCTTGTGTGCATGTTGTGAGTAGTGGAGTGACGCCCTCAAGCGCGGGTCTGTATTTGGATAGATCGTGTAGAATTAGTCTTCCACTTGAACATGGGAGGATAAACCGCCATATTCTTGTATTGTGTGCATGTTGTGAGTAGTGGAGCAAGTGAATTTAGATAGTGTCTGGCCTGCATTTTGACAGTTCACGTGAATGAATCTTCTGCTAGAACATGCAAGCATACACCGCCATATTTTTGTCTTGTGTGCATGCTGTGAGTAGTGGAGCAAGACCCGCAACTGCAGGTCTGTATTTAGACAGTACATCTGTAGAACGAGTCTTCTACTAGAACCTAGGAGGATACAATGCCATAGTTTTTTCCTTGCGTGCATGTTGTGAGTAGTGGAGCGAGGCTAGTTTTTTTCTTGTGTGCATGTTGTGAGTAGTGGAGTGAGGCCCTCAAGTGCGGGTCTATATTTCGACAGTTTGAGCGTATCATGGATTCAGGCCCTCACTGCACTGCTCACCAAATGTGCAAAGTGAGAATGAATCTTCCTCTAGAACAAGGGAGAAGATACCCATGATTTTTTTGTCTTCTATGCATGTGGTGATTACTGGAGAGCGGCCCTCTAGCATGGGTCTGTTTTTTTTCCTGTGAGGCGGAGGGGCAGGTCTGTATTTGGACCGTTCATGTGTGTACTGACTCCACTCTATAATGTCCAAAAACGAACAAAATGGGCTTCCGTCCGAGCAGGCCGCTATGTACTTGTATCTGCAGGCGCCTTCCCTGCCGCGGTGGGAGCACCCCCTAGAACCATTGGGCCATGAGAAACAAAAAGGGTCCAAGAAATTCCCTAAGGAAACAATTATATTCAACCATCGAACCATTGCTAAGTTGCTCACGCAAGTTCATTCAACCATCAAATCTATGATGAGTTGCTCCCTTACACACACACACGCACACAGACACACACAAACGCACACCATATGCACACACACACACACCTGCAGATTGGTTATTGACTCCCAGAATAGAAAATTGTGGAACTTCAGCTCCGTGCTCTCGCAGTGCCTTCAGCACAGTATGCCATCGCTCTTTCGCTTTGCCCTCCACCAATAGTGTCTCAAGCAATAATAGCAGCTTCTGCTGACTCTGCAGACAAAGGAACAAGATATTCATCAGCCAGTTGTCCCGGGCATTACAGCCATCAAGTCTCGTAGCAACTTTACACGTGACTAACATTACAGGGTCGACAAACCCAAAATTCCTTATAAAAGGTCTGACCACTTCTCAAAGCCGCAATGACCACAAAATTGCAGTCGGACAAACTGTATAATTGTGGGAAATCATCGCCTTGCGGTCGGTTACTGTGTCTAACACTTTTCCCTTGCCTTCATGAATCTATGCCTGTCCACAATTGCATAAAATTGCTTGCGCCAGTACTAACGCTGTGTTGGTTCTGTGATTCACTGCCCCCGGAAAGGGTGGATTTCAAATAACAGAAGGGACAGGAACAGGACAGAGATATGGCAGTAGGACTTACAATGACTCCAGGCCCCACAGGGGCAGCTAGGCGGGTCCGAAGAGGCCAAATATTAAGCATCTGAGGCTCCAAGCCTTGGCATGCCCCAAAGTGGTTGACAGTGACAAGAAGGCCAGGCCGGGGCCTGAGAAAATGATGCAGGCCCTAAATGAAGGCCAAAAGGGGAAACTTCTGGGCCTGAGATAGGTGGCAGCCCTTGTAACTAGCCGGTAGGCCCAGCGAACAGTTAGCTACAGAGGCTGGGCCCTGGACTCGGTCCAGCGGGCACAGCGCAATGCCTACCGGAACCAGACTGTGTCGTCCAGGGCACAAGCAGAAGGGAGGCCAGTGGACAGAACTCGTTCGGGCAGTGGCAGCATTGCGGTGGACAGCACATTGAGGCCAGAGTGAGCCCATGCAAGAGGAGGCAGCTGCAGAGGCTGCTGAGGTAGCTGCGCTGGTGCCTGCCATCGCTGGACAGCGTTAAGCAGGGCAGGAGGGTGACAAGTTGGGGAGTTGGTCAGAAAGAGCAGGAAGACAAATGCAACTTCACATTCTTACCTGGTGTTGATGGAGCCAGCTCAGGTGAGCGGACTCTTCCAAAAGCATCAGGCAAGTGACACACGTACAGAGAGTGTCAGGGTAGCGGACTAGTGTGTGTAGAAGGAATAGGGCATAGAGTACGGCATACACATCACAAAAGGGCTGCCACCTTGCTGTTTAATAGATTGTTGGCTGTGAGAAGTGGGGCTTTCATTCTCACAAGGTTACGTGTCGCAGCTTCGCCCGCAAAAACATTGAAGAGAAAGGAGTGCAAATGAGGGTGGGTAGGGGTTTGTTGGTCGGGTGTTGGTTTGGGTGGGGTCGGGGTGGTTTTTAGGCTCACCTGTGCATTGTTGTTGACACTGCCGATGGAATGCTGCTGTTGCTTTGTAAGCCTTGGATTTTTATATGATACCAATTGTCCGGTGGCAAGACGTCCTGGCCGGACAGTCAGGGGGGTCCCAGACGTCCGGGCCCGGACAACTCCATTTCTAACAATTAAAAGCACCAAAAAACAGTGTTGCACACCCCGACCGCCGGCGACCCTTGACTGGTCGGCTGCCGACCCGCCAACCGGTCGGCTGGTCCCACACACACAAAAAAAAGGGTCCAGAACCCCTAATAACCCCACGAACACCCCCATACCAACTCCCAATACCCCCATACACCCCCCCAACACCCACAAACCGCCCCACAACACCCTCATACCCCCCCCCA